CAGCCTGGCGCCTGGCGACAGAACAAGACTGTCTCCAAAAAAAAAAAAGAAAAAAAAAAAGATTGGGAGGTGCTGCAGATGCCTCTCCCGTTGCCTAGGCAGGGGCCAGCTGCTCTGATCAGCTCCCTGCCTTTCCGCCAATCAAGCGACATCACCGCCACCCTATTCAGCCCAAGTGAGACCACCACAAGATCCCACATGTTCCAGGGCAAACCCAACTCTCTTCTGCTCCGAGGTCTCCATCCACCTCACTGCACACCTTGGGCCACTAGGCCAGGTTTCTTTAAGCAGCAAAAAAAGGATTATGAAGACTCTAGAACATTCTTTTTTTTTTTTTTTTTTTTTTTTTTTAAACCAATTTTTTTTTTTTTTTTTTTTTTTTTTTTTTTTTTTTTTTTTTTTTTTTTTTTTGAGACCGAGTTTGTCTCTTTCGCCCAGGCTGGAGTGCAATGGTGCGATCTCAGCTCATTGCAACCTCCCCCTCCCCAGGTTCAAGCAATTCTCCTGCCTCAGCCTCCCGAGTAGCTGGGATTACAGGCACGTGATCTACCGTGCCTAACTAATTTTTGTATTTTTAGTACAGACAGGGTTTCACCATGTTAGCCAGGCTGGTCCCGAACTCTTGACCTCAAGGGATCCACCTGCCTCGGCCTCCCAAAGTGCTGGGATTACAGGCATGAGCCACCACGCCTGGCCTACTCTAGAACATTCTGTGAAGACAATAGCCTGTTTGTGCCCACTGGGAACAGCATTGCTTTCTATCACATTAGCCTGGACGGCTGCAGACTTCAGGCGCTGGGAGGGGCTGCTGGTGCCTCCGTCCCCACTCCCCTCTGCTGTCCGGACCTCCCTGCAGCCAGGTCCCTTTCCCAGCCGTGAAAGTGGGAAAATTGCATCACCTCTCTGAGGCCCGGAAGACAGAAGCAATGACACGGTCTCTTCAAAGCTACATCATGGGGAACAGCCACAGGGGAAGGGGACTGAGAGGCGGTCATGAAGGTTACATAGGAACATGGAATCTTTTCATAACTACCAGAGGTGACCTGGGAGACGCATTTCATGTTGCAAGCCCAGTCTCAGAAACTCAAGTCCCAGGTTCAAATCCCGGTTCCCTGTTCAGTACCGCTGAGTTCCAGCAGGGCTAGGGCCAGGTGTCATCACTGCCGACATCCTGACAAAAGCACAATACACGTGGCTGAGCGCAATGGTTCACACCTGTAATCCCAGCACCTGGGGAGGTCAAGGTAGGTGGATCACCTGAGGTCAGGAGTTTGGGACCAGCCTGGCCAACATGGGGAAACTCCGTCTCTACTAAAAATACGAAACAATTAGCCAGGCGTGGTGGTGGCCGCCTGTAATCCCAGCTACTCAGGAAGCTGAGGCAGGAGAATCGCTTGAACCTGGGAGGTGAAGGTTACAGTGAGCTGAGGTCAAATCATTGCACTCTAGCCTGGGCAGGAACGAAACTCTGCCTCCAGAGGGGAAAGAAAAAAAAAAAAAAAAAAGCACAATGTATGTGTCTAATTAACATACGTGTTATATGTGTTCCTGTCATTGCCACACTAAACTTAAGAGATGTGGCAGACACTATTGTACGAATCAAGTATTACGTTACAAATGAAGGCAGACAAGGGTTTTGGGTTGCATGGATGTAGACATTTGTCAAAATTATTCAAATGGCCTAACACCCGTTTCACTGTATACAAAGTTTTTAGACCAGACATGGAACCTCACGCCTGTAACCCCAACACTATGGGAGGCCGAGGCAGGAGGGTCACTTGGCCCCATGAGCCCACCCTGGGCAACATAAGACCCCATCTCGCCGGGTGCCGTGGCTCACGCCTGTAATCCCAGCACTTTGGGAGGCCGAGGCAGGCGGATCACAAGGTTAAGAGATTGAGACCATCCTGGCCAACATGGTGAAACCCCGTATCTACTAAAAATACAAAAATTAGCTGGGCATGGTGGCATGTGCCTGTAGTCCCAGCTACTCGGGAGGCTGAGGCAGGAGAATTGCTTGAACCCGGGAGGTGGAGGTTGCAGTGAGCCGAGACCATGCCACTGCACTCCAGCCTGGCGACAGAGCANAAAAAAAAAAAAAAAAAAAAAAAAAAAAAAAAAAAAAAAAAAAAAAAAAAAAAAAAAAAAAAAAAAAAAAAAAGATCCCATCTCCACAAAAGATACAAAGATTAGCCAGGCAAGGTAGTACATGCCTATAGTCCTAGCTACTCGGGAGGCTGAGGCTGGAGGACTGCTTGAGCCCAGGAGGTTGAGGCTGTAGTTAGCTGGGACTGTGCCACAGCACCAGCCTAGGCAGAGTAAGATCCTGTCTCAAAAAGAAAAAACAAATACTGAACTCTAGTTACTGATGGCGTGGTTTCAGTAAGGAAGGGTAAGGTGGAGTGGGGTCTGATGCATTACTATGAAATGCATCCTAGTAGGATGGACTGATGAGCAGAAAGACAGACAGGGCTTCATGAGAAAACCCATGCGTCAGAATGCCGATGGTAAAATCCACAGGCAGTTGTGTTTACGTGTTTCCCCTTTCCTCTATGGTTAAAATGCAAGAATTAAAATGCTAGCTCCGTGGCCGGCACAGAGCGCGGACTCAGCATCATCCCCTCTCCTGCATTTGGGAGGTGAGAGTCCAACCCGCCATTGAGCTAAGCCATGAACTTAGCAGGTCCCAACTGAAATGCAGCCTCCTGTGCTGACCCAACAGACCGAGCGGCAAATCAAAATCAGTTTGGAAGGCACAAAGGAAGCACGCATGGCAGGAGGGAGGAAGAGAGCGCCAGGCGGAGCTCCTCGGTGGAGCCCGGCCCTGCCTCTCCCCAGCCTCTCCCCTGCGCACACGCACGCGGCTGTACCGTCAGCTCCCCAAGTTCTCTCGACCAGGGCAGGGCAGGTTAACTCAGATTCTTAAGACTCAAGTCATCATGTCTCTTACGGGAAGAGGGCTAAGGAAGGTCTCCTACGGCTCGTAAGCCAGAAAAATTAATCATCAGGTCTCATCTGGAGTGAGCAGGCAGGAACCTCCCAGCCCCCAAAAAACCTGGCCCGGGGCGGTGTTTATTTTCCAAACTAGACACCAGATGGCAGCAGTACCCGGTTCAAAATCCAACAACACAGTGGGGTACAGGCAGCCCAACTGACGACTTTTAATCCAGTTCCAGCCGTCTACACCCGTCCTCACCGTCCAACCAACTCCAGCTGACGGGACCCACACCTTCGATCACACCGTCTCATCCTGCTGGGAAACCACGCTCGCAGGAGGTGCCCACAGTCCCCCAACAAAGACACCAACCAAAGTAGAACCCCCCCCCCAGGTGTCAATGGAGGAAGCATCCCAAACGTGGCAGCTATGAAATCAAAGGTGGCCATTTTAAACGCAACGAGGGGCTTGGGAAAGAACAGAACAGAGGGAGACACAGGCGGGCCGGCAGACCCCTGGGGACCACGCGCCCCAGGTCACCAGCAGCGGCAGCACAGCAGGCCCAGAGTGGCGGAAATTCCTGATTAGCAAGCGCCATCCCCAGACTCTGAATAAGCTAATCCAAATTTCTAGAAAAAACACTCTGGGGGTCTGACGCTTAACCCGCACAGGCTGTGAGCCATCAGTGGTGGATGTTTAAAAAAGAAAACCTGGTCCCTTCCGTCCTAGCTATGGGAGAGGTCCTGGGCCCTTTCTCGAAAATTCCTCAGCCTTCCATCGGCCACCTCCAAAACTTCTTTCTCTAGCCATTATTTTCAAGGAGAGCTTTAAAAAAAGAAGAAGAAAGTTTAAAAGCCCTGACTCTATAGATTCGAAGGCCAGCCGCCAGCCCAGCGTGTCAATCTGCGAGTCCTGCCTTTGTTCCTTCCTCTCGCAGGCATTTGAGGTTTCTGTGGACTTCTTCCGGGAGAGGTGAAGTGGGACCGGACGAGGTTGGGGGGGGGGGGGGGGGGGGGAGAAAGTATCGGTGGTGGCTGCAGAAGCGCGGGGCCTGGACCAGGCACAGAACAAAGGTGTTGGAGGCGGGTGTACCTGTTTGCCTCTGTAGAACAGCCTCTGCAAGCCTGGCTCCACGTGGAACAGCTCCTGGATCTTCCGCCGCAGCTCCTCCACCTTGGTTAGCCTGGACAGCGAGTCCACCGTGTGGGTTTGCCTCCCGTCCATGGTCCGAACCTGGATCCACATGGTGTCGGCGCTGAGGGGAGGGACAGCAAAAACCTCAGATCAGTTTTACCAGCACCTCCAAGCCATGCCATGCTCTAAGAAGTTGGGGTAGCTTTTGTCCTGTCTGTGGACACCAGGAAACTCCCAGGATGCCCTCCCAGTTTCCATATACAGCCAGACCCCGGCCAGGTCCAGACACAGTAAATAAAGGACTTAATGCATTAAGGACTAGCCAAGTGTTGAAGATTGAAAACGGAGGAGAATGAAAAGACGGAATTGAAAGGAAAGCAAAAGGGATCTCAGACCACCCAACCCAACCTACCCCTCCTTCCCAGAGGAAAACACCCACGACCAGAGGAGGAAGGAGGCCTGGGCCAAGTGGCCCAGTTGGTTCGTTTATTCATTCATTCATTGATTCATTCATTCCTCGGATTCCTATTTACGGAAGAGGGAATCCCAAAAGTCCAACGCGGGCTGGAACTTCAGAAGTCCCGGGGGAACTCAACCAAGTACGACTGAGAGAGAAGGATCCCACCCGAGACCCGCCGGCCCCGGGACCCCTCGGGTGCCCGCACCCCCCCTCCTTACCGCCCCCCCCGCGCGCGTGCGCGACCGGGCCCGCCCCGCGGTGGCC